CTCCCCGTGGAGATTCGTAGCCTCACCACCCTCCAGACCTTCCGCACAGCCCTCAGAATCTGGCTATCCCATCAAGCCTGGGGCTAAAGATTGTAACCCGCCCGAATGGTATGAATGTTGTGTTTTAATCATGTATCGTCTTATATGTAAAAGTTCGTTTTCCCCCCTTCCTTTGGATTGTGAGCCGCCTGAGTCCCCCCAGGGAAAAGGGCGGCATATAAATAAACCTCTAATCTAATCTAATCTAAATCTAATCTTCACTGCTCCACTTCCTCAAGGAACTCTCCTTTCCTTTTTGCCCTCCTATTTGCTTGCTCTGGTTGTGAACTCCCAAATGCCTCTTCTCCTAAAGTGATTAGCTCCGAGTGCTCCATTTGTCTTAAGGGTTTCAGCAGGTGCCTGGCACTCTTAGGCAAGATTTCATAATGTCCTGAAAGGAAATCTACATCTGGGGTGCCTCTAATTCAGGATATTTCTTTCCCAATTAAACAAAATATTTGTTTTCTAAACAACAGGGAAGAAGCTACATACAGTGAGATATTTTATTTAGAAAGCTATATCTATTTATGCTACCCATTTGTAATCTATATTACTCTAGAATGTTTTAATTAACGGTTAGCATCTAGCCTAAATCCCCACAGCAACAGCAATTGGAGGTGAGGGGGTAGAAGCAAGCTTGGGACAAGGCACATCACCATGGAGATAGATAAGAGCAAATGATTGTATCATCAAAAGGAAGGAAGGAAGCCAGGAGAAGACAGAAATAAAAGGAGAGATCCCATTATAGCAGCACTAATTTTGTAATCAGATGAATAAAGGTACTCTTGAAAGCCTAGACTCTGAAGATATGATACAACAAAGAAAGACAAAAGGTTGCCAGCAGCCAGGTGTGGAGTGCATTTTGGACGTGGAGGGCTCTGCTTTTCATCTGCTTTCTTCCCAGATTGCCCATCATAATATTGGGTTGCAATCATCTGTCTAATCATGAAATTCAGCAGTAGGAAACAGCACGAACTGTTCTTTACAGTTGGTAAAAGACAGGCAATAATGAATTTCTGAAGGAAAGCTTTAAGGGGGAAATGGTTAATTCTAGAAGAATTTTAAACCATCTGAACTAGGAGAAAAATTTCTCCTTCAAACATTTTACAAAACATTGTAAAATCTTTCCTTCAATACATGGATTAGATCAGTGTTTCTCTGATCAATGTTCTGATTGCACCACAAACGCAGGAGTCATCCTTACCTTTCACAGAGGCACTGAGTTTTATAAATAGGAGCATGATAGTGTAGAATAATC